CAGCGAACCTGATCGACGGCTCTACCTTCCTGTTTCAATTTTCTGGACCAGATGCCCACACAAATCGTTAGTTAAATATACTATGGCTATATCGCTGTATTTGTTTATATGTATATGCACATCTAAATGTATATGTACATCTAAATTTGAATCCTATTTTAATAGTGTAAAGTATAATGGAAAAGAAGGCCAGAAGACATAGGCAAATGTTTTCCACGTGTAAATTCTCGCATATATGAGTTATTCTTGTTTCTAATGATCATAGCCTTGAGCCGTTTGCATTAACGTAATGTTTCCGGTTTGGTTAACGCCTGCCACATGCTCAGTACAGCACAACACTTTTCAAATTTGGATTTGTTAGCTGTAAGAAATGGGCTACCTCACTTGCTTTTCAGCCAATCCTCGTTCAATGGATAATTTTGCTATAAGGCACCGCTTACTGCTAGATAGATTCATATGTACATGTAGAAGGATCATTTCTTCCCAGAACGCAGATCTGCCTCAACCTCACTCATCCACGTTGCATGCTGGCTATCTGCTGATCGACTCTGTTGTCATTCAGATCTACCATAAGAAACTATGGAGTGGAGTGAAGGGTCGTAAAGTCATCGAGGCCATATAATTAGTGTTATATGGAAACAACAATTTTCTTTAACGCCTGATCTTCTCCAAAACTACGAAGCTGTTTGGAATTGAAAATCTGAATTGAAAGACGCTGTTTGGAAACCCGATAAAATTACCGAGGGAGAGACCTGAAAAACGAATTTTCTGCTTACGGCCATTTGGCAAGCAAATCAAGGGACTGCAGATGCCAGACGGTTCGAGCACACAGTTATAATGAACACAGCGTCGCTACTATCGCGACCGTGAATTCAGTCTATGGAGCCAGCTTGGTCATCGAAGGACGGAAAACACTAGAAAAACCTCATTTCTCTCTCTAGCAGATGAGGCAACGCCTTGGATAAGAGGCCCTATGCTTAAAACACCTTTTTACCATTAATCTTTGCTTAGGTTAGCATCGTCATTGCATCAGTAGGGTAACACAGACTACATCTAACGATAAACGAATGAAATGTTTTCTATCAATCATTTTGATTAGGGCTCTCATAGACAAGAGAAAATAGTAAAAAACTGTTACACAGAGCGAATGCGTTCCGCTTCTCATACCGGCAACATCTTCAAGGATGTCGGCAATGAAATGCACGGATTGTCGGCAAATA